TATTTCTTCACGGCGATGTAATACATTCGTATAGTGAGGCGCGCTAAAGAAGATTTCGACGTATCGGGAAGCTTTTAAGAAATATCGACGTATTTGTCGGGACAGAGATTTAGACTCCTGCGCGCGACAGCGAAGACTCGCGGCGCTTCTTGCAACATCATTTGTAATAATTTTCCTCCTATTGCTATTCGCACCCGATCACTCCGAGGGGACCCCATTCGTTTTATCGACCCGTCCTGTACACGCTTCCAACATCGCGCTCATGCCCAGATGCGTGGCACGTAAAGAAATCACGTCGAAGATATAACTCCTACACGGAGATATTATATTGTGATATAACGCCCGGCTGCCGAAGTATTACTCACCCGTCCGCGCCGGGGGACGGGTGTGCGACGTGTACACGTTATACCGCATACGTGTGCGTTCACGGTCTCGTATTCACGAGAGCAATGAATACGGGATGCGGGATCAATTCAGAGACGACGGATTAAACGCATTCGAGATCGGGGTCGTAAGAGGGAAGAGAGGAATTCGATGGTGCACGCGATTGTACACACCTGATCCGGTGGACGATTCGCCGAATATTCGAATTTTCTCACGTAACGCGATAACAGAATTTCTCGAAAGCAACGAAATTCCTACGTATATACCTCGGCCGAAGCTAAGAATTGAAACTTTCAACACTGCCACTGGCGTATACGGCGGCGGCTAATCGTATATATACTCGCGAAGATATATCGCGCGTAATAACGCAGACGAGTGTGTCTTTTCGGCGACCGGTTTCGTCCTATTTCCGACGTGATCTTACACGATTATTTCCTCCCTGCACCTTGCACGTGTCTATACGACATACGGCAGCCGCATACCTGATGATGCGCTCTTTTCTCCCGTCGCACTTTGCAGTCATCGCCACTTCTGTCGCCGCTTCTTTCGCGCGCATCATCGTGAGTCGTCTAACCCGCCGTCAACTCCACGTCTCACGTACGCGATACGTAATTTGCCGCCGCGCGCCGGTCGACGAAACTGCGCGAGGAAAATCGTAGAAATTGTACAGGGGAGGAATTTTAATTTTGAAATTTTTCTGAGAAACTTTTTCTCTCGTCTGAATTTTCCCTCGTATTTCTCGGCGTCTTCGATTATCGCAGCGTGTAGATATCGTGGACGGTTAAACGTTTGCAGATTGAAAAAATGCTTTTACGTCCGTTTCTTTCCGCGACGTGTCGTTACGCCACCAGCTTGTGTAATTCTATGAAATTCTCTTCACGGTCGCGTCCGCGGCTCTCCTCTTTCTCTCTTTCATTTCGTCGTGCGCGAAATCATATAAATTTAACGTTCACATTCTCCGGCCGCGTATAAATATCACTGGTAATTTTCCGTCCGTAGACGGCTGTAATCTGCATGCCTCTTTCAACGACAGCGAAAATGCACACGTCTGACAAGCCGGATGCGTAGGTTACGCGTCCCTGACCTAGGACGTTTCGATTTTATAGAGCTAAGAGTCGACGACGAGTCGGTGTGTCTCGACCGTGACAAATACTAAAGTACCCCACGTGAGAGAATCGTCGATAATTTCACGGTTATCGTAATTTCATGTGTAATGATGATCCTCGCTACACAAGGCGGGAACCCCTGCGGAAAATTTACACAGTAGTGCATTAACGATCTAGTCAAACCTGTAGTTAAAGAAACATTTGGTTCTCAGATGGAGTTGTGCCCTCGTCCTTCCGATGCAATTAACGTCTCCGATAACTCCATATTCATCGATATTCGGAAACACACGGCGATGTGCCGCGGGCACTCTAGCATTCAATAATAACATTCGAGAGGTAATGCACGGATTGAAACAAGCACGAGGAGGCACGCGCGACCGCGAACAAATCTGCGGAGATACGACCGTCGTATTTACATCCCGGATGAAACCATCGTGCGGGGAACGTGCCGTGCGCGGCGCGCTCTGAAAACATTCCGATAAGAGAGGAGAAACAATCGCCGAGGGAAAGAGAAGGAGAGAGAGAAGAGGTGGCGAGAGCCGCCTGGAGGTGCCTCTACGGTTGGATACGCGCCGGTGTTGAAAATCGAACGGAAACCCAGTTAAAACTCCAGTGTACCTCTCCAGCATTCACTAATAATAGAGCAGATACTGGAAGGATAGAAATACGACTTCCTCCCTTCGGCACGCCGCGCGCGCCCCGCGTCCTAAAAATAACGAACGGACATTCGACACGCGCTCGTCGGAGCGGAGGAGAGAAAGGGCGAGGACGAGCCGCGGGGCGGCTCTGTCCAATTCAAACAGTAGATACCCCCCGCGCGCCAGCACGTGCTTCCACTTATCCCCGGTGATAAGCCGTCAGATTTGTGCGTGCGTGTGCGTACGCGACGGTGGGTCGCGACCCGGAAAGCGTGTGAACTCGTAACCCGACTCGTCCTCGAGGCGCGTCGGCCGGCACGACCTCGCGACCGATTCGGAGTCCGAACGAACGGAAGATTGAGAGTCTGGCCGAAATCGTGTTTAGTCTGCGCATATATGTATTTATACGGCGCATTTATCGCTGAATGTAAAAAAGTTACTATCACTAGTTGTAAAAAAAAAAGGGCAATTATTCCATAATTATTCCTCGCGATTAATACAACGAACTTGTCGCTAAATTATCTTGGATTTCGTCACGAACATGCCTTTGAAAGTATGCGAGTGTATGTGCACTTTTTTCCTCTTTGCCCTTCCGCATACGCACGCGAGTGCGTGGAGCTTCGCCGCATATTTGCTTCGGAATCGATCGAGCAAATATATATAGAGAAAGAGAGACGTGGCTCTTAGTCTAGCGCGAGAGGCGTTCCTCGGGTCAAAGGATCGATACCGGTTGCAGGTTTGCGGACGGTACATGTTGTGATCCGCATTACGGTTCTATTCGTAGGAGACCCTACACTATCGATTACGCACAGAAGTGACTACATGTCGATGAACTCGATCAGTACATAGGACGTCGTGCACTTCGAGAGATATATAGTATACCAGCATTATTGCCGTTTCGCATATCTAGCACGACTGAATCGGAGACTTGACTTGACTAGAGAGACTCGCGTCTCGTGTAACTGCGATTACCTCTTTCCGCCGATAAAACGAATTTTATTCTCTGTTCAATTCCACAAATAAATGACTTTAATAAAACTCCAATCTACGGCTTATTAAGACACTTAATACGAAAAATTATGGAACAGTGCACGGCGAGCTGACTCGCGGTTGTACGATTTTAATGCAGCACGATTTAATTTCGTGCATTATTTTTATCGTATGATCGTATCATGCTCGAAATGTTCCTGATTATTCGCAATAAACACGCGATCGCGAGATGTCGAGGATAAATGCGCGCCGTTTCTACATTCATCTATTCCACCTGTCACCGCATAATACGCGACGTGAATTCTTGTCCAACGACCGGCTGATCAATGTAATCGCGTTGACTTTCACGCAAGATAAGATTGAATCTCCCGATCATTTATCGCGCGACATCGCGATCTTGGGTGTCACTTTGCGAATGCTTCGATTTTATCGGTCGAAAGTTCAGTATGTGAATAAAGTAATGTACAAAATTAAAAGTCGCGATAGCCTCTTATCCCGTTACGAGGCCCTCAATTTCTTAAAAAAAAAAAAAAAATTTGCATCTGATAGATAATAACGATATAATAAATTAACATACGTTAATAGCACGGAGGCCGTGCGAGTCTTGCCTCGGGACCATGGAAATTAATTTGCGCAAGACAGATAAGGCGCTACTTTACGAAGCCACCGGCTTCGTAATGTTCGAACTCTTCGTCGGCTTCGTCTCTCACCGATCGGACTCCGCTAACTGCGGCGTGTTCCACGAAGCGAGAATCCCGTCGTCGTCTCTATCGAAACGCGGCGCTACCGATCGCCGTAAAGCGGGATCCTGACAGAGGCGTTTGGGATCGCTCGTTTCGGCGTGGCAAACGGCGCGGAACGGGTTAAAGGCGAGTTAATGGCGAGTCGTCCGCCGAGAAAATACGCTCGACGGACGGACCGCGGGACAGTCGAGAAGAGGATAGCCGATCCTCCTTCTTTCTCCTCGGGAGTGGGAGACTTTTCCGACGACGACGACGACCCGCCGCGAGGACCTTTTCGCGATCGGACGTCTATCTTCGCGCGATCACGGAGTCATGGCGCACGCCGGGGTGAAAGTTACTCGCCGCGACATAAACATCGCGGATAACGATTACGATAAAACCCAACGTGCCGGCCAATTCCCCCGTCCAGGCGAAGTGCCGTGTCGCTTTATTCGGTTTCTCTTTCAGACGTATCGATTTCTTTCGAGCGGGGCGGAGATTCCGCGACGTAGCCGAACAAGTATTTCCATTACTTTATAATCTTTAACGTTAGATATCTCAACGATATTAAGCCGCAAATTAAAGCCCTATTAAAGTCGGATTTGTTTGAGATTGCACAAGGAATAAGATTTTTATTGCTTGTTCGTGTCTTACGATTCATAAATCATAACTGTATATATCGGGATTTTCATTAAAAGAAAATCGGCTATAAATTACACGAAAAAGTTGTAAATAAAATTTCTTGCGTATATAATATGTATGTATATATTTAACTTCATGTACTAATAATATATCTGTCAACGATAGCTGCTGCGCCAGTATCTGTAGATATAACAGGACGCTAGAGTTCAATATCTCATTAAACGATGATTAAAATTGAGCCTAAATTAAAATCTTAATATTTTAATGCTTTACTTCAGAATAAATGTATGTGTGGAAAGAGTATGAACGAGATTGTTCGGAGACACGGATTGCATGTCCGTACACATGAATCGGCCGGACAGGGACGGCGACCTCCGGCGCGATCCTTTGTCAAAGTCCCTTAATCATAGCCTCATTTCTCAAGCGGAATCTCCCGCAGATCTCCGAGCGTGGAGTACGCAGCGTGACGAACGACTCAATTATTGTCCGGCGCGCCCCTCGAGGGGGACTTCACTTACCTCTTCCACAAGGGATCTCTGCATATTGGTCCAGCACAGTTTGCACGGGCACACGTCCTTACTCGCCTCCTTCGGGTTCTCATTCCGCTCACGGTCCCGCGCGTTACCGGCGGCCTGATGCGGCGGCGGCGGCGGCACCGGCGGCGGCAGCGGACTGGTGGCCACCTCGAGGCTGTCCGAGCTCGAGTTGTGGCGTCGCGGCGGCGTGATGTTGCTGCTGACGTTCGCCTGCTGGCAGGTCGCCTGCCTGACCTCGCACGACCTGCCGTGCTCGTTGCCGCACTTGACGGCGTGCGACGGGGACATGTATAGATTCAGCATGCACTTGTTGCTCGGCTGCTGCGGCTGCGGCCGCAGGAAGTCGTCCAGAAGATAAAAGCTCTGCGCGCGGCTCGATCGTGTAATGGAGGTCGTGCCGCGGGCCTCCACGGCGCTCTGCTCCGCGGCTCGGCAGTGCTCGCGTCCTTCTCGGGTGCTCCTGCATTGTTCGGGGTCATCCAGCTGATGTCGGCTACGCTGCGGAACGTGTCTCTCGTCGAGCTCGTTTACCGGTTCGCTATCTTGGTACAACCTACGGCTGACCTTCGACCTGCCGGCAACCTGACCAAACTCTCCATTCTCCCGGTAAACGTCTCTACTGACACGGGACACTCGTGCCGAGTAGGAAGTCGGCTGTTGGTAGCGCGTCTTGCAGCTCGAGCCGCGCGACTCCTCGCGGAAGTGATCGCCCTCGATCATGGATACGCTCATGTTATGCGACAGGGAGTTCTGGCTGGCGTGAGAGCTACCGCTCGCGCCGACAGGAGTCCTTAAAAGTGCGCCGAGGGATCGCCACTTCCGGTCCTGTTGATTCGTCGTTGTAGATGAAACCGAGGACCTGTTCCACTTCCTCTCGTTCGACGGTGACGTCAGTAGGCTGTTACCCACGGACCACTTCCGCTCGTTCGTAGGCGACGTCATCGAGGACGGCCACTTTCTCTCGTTCGAGGGTGACGCCATCGAAGTACCCGACCATTTCCGTTCTGACGACGGTGCGCTGATTGCGCCAGCGGTCCCGCCGGTTGCATTCAGCTGTTCCTCCCGTTGTCGGGCCTTCCACCAGGACGACGTCGAGGTAAAGAGAATCAACGCGCCCCGCAATGGATTCTGGTTCTTGGCCGCTCCCTTCGGCGAGAGGTCGCGGTGATCCTTGACTTTCAACGGGCAGTCCCTGAAGTTGGAGTCGCACTCTCGGTCGCTAAACGCGGCGGCGTCGCGCTGTTCCCTCAGGGCGTTCTTCGCGGCCGCCACCTCCTCCTCGTGATACAAGGTCGCGTTCGTGCTGCGCAACCGTGGTCGGATCCTCACGAAGCCGTAATCGTTGCCGTCCTGAAGGACGGAATCGAACGGTTCGCGGGACTGTTGCTGGTGATGCTGCAGGAGGGAGCAATGCGCGGCCGCCGCGGCCGCAGCTGCCGCCGCCTGGCCGCCGGACGTGTACTGATGATGACCGTTGCTCAGCTGCAGACTCGGCTGTTGCAGCAATGTTGAGGTCCTCGCGCGATGACCCTCGCCGGCGGTGCCGCGTTGCAAGCACGAGAAGCTCGCCGAGTGCCGCAAGCTCGAGGGCGTGTTGCCCGGCTGACTCACGCCCAACATGTCGCCACCTTTTATTTTCAGTCTTTGATCTCTCGAGGGAGAGAACGGGTGTGTGTATATTAATATAAGCGTATACGTGTATACGTGACGAAGGCAGGACTGACACGTAGGGAGGGGCGAGGGGGAAGGCAGGTAAGAGGGGCAGTTAGCGAGGAGCGAAAGCTAAGATCGACCAAGGAACGGTTCAGCGGACGAAGCGGCAATCTAGCTCGTCATTACTCCTGGCAGTGTTTTTATCAGTCTCGCGATAACATCCGGCGTGTTCTCTCGCGAGGAAGCAAAGAGGAATCTCTTCTTCTTTCTTCTACGCTGACCTGTTCTTCCCTCGGTCAATTCCTCTTCCCTGTATCGCGCGCATCATCATCGTCTTGAGTTGAAATTCGTGCGGTTCTCTCTTTCTCTCTTTCTCGTCGAAAAGCCCTGCCACATGGGCTACATCCTCGTCGTTATCGGATGTACGTGGTGCCTATAGATGATATGAGATCTGTAACAGAAAGTAGGAACAGGGTAGGGAGCGGCAACTTAAAAGAAAAAATGGCTACGATGAAACGAAGGCGTCCGTCGGTGGCGCATTCGTGAAAAATCAAAGTGCTCGATGAAGTGAACTGGGCGGCGTTGCAAGGGGGTGGGGGGGGGCGTGGGAGAGAATGATTTTATTGAATGATTATCGTTATGACCCGCGTGAAATGTGCAGGGTGAACGTGACAGTGCGACAATTATTTTTGGAGTTGGCTGTCGAAACTCCGGCGGGTCGCGGCGAGTTGATTTGTCGGCGGGAGTTGAAGGTCGTTCTGCCAGTGTGTTCGAGGCATGGTATATCGGGATATCTACCGCGAGGTGTTTTTCTATACGAAATAGTTCACCGCGGTATTTCTACGACAATGCGCGAACAGCGAGGTGGAACGCTTGCGCGTTTTCTCGGAAATCTAAGCGGAGTTCTGGGCAGAAATACACCGCGCTGGATATGATCGATGTGTAATTAATGCGCGATGGAGAGACAGATAGAGAGATAAATTTAACGTTGATGTAAGGTGTTATTGAAATCGGATAAAGCTTACGAGTAAAATGTTATGCCAAAGACTTGTTAATATTTAAATAAACATCAGATATAAACAGATGCAAACGAGCGTTTCAAATAACTTGCTTAATCTAATCTCTCCGAATTTATACATATATTAATATAAATACGTTTAGCTCAATATTATCTCCCGTATGAACTGTGTGACAAAGTACATTACAAACAACATAGTTCTGCTTCTCGCGGGCACATAAAATATAATACTAGGAAATTAGATTGTAAATGTGTAGATGTGAATAGAAGTACAGAATTAGAGCGTATCGCGTCCGAATGCAAATACAATGTTTGTTGCCGTTTGATTATACACTTTGCGAAGTTGTACGCTGTTGAGATTGCAACGCGTGATGAATGTATAACGAATATAATGATAACAGAATTTTCGCTGAAACATCGTAAGCATGGCGCTAATGAAACGTGACTGATGAAACAAAAACTATGAGTCAAGTCTTGATGCAATTAAGTAAAAATCAATTTATGCATCAGCATGCTCCTCGATGTAGAATTAATGCAACCTATTAGAAAAAGCTGTGGGCAGGGGGAGGGTAGGAGAAAAGGGAGTCGAGAATCGTAGAACTACATATCTCGTGGGCAAAGGATGAAGGGGAGAAGAAGGTTTGCGTCAAAATTGAAGGCATTACGCCATCCTCTTTTAAGTCTGCGGGATTGACACAATTATTTCCTAATTATCGCAGGCCGGACCGTCGTTGACATGATTAACATTCGTAAAGAACGTCTGGCGACTCTGATTAAAAAGATCCGGCGTATTTGACGAGGCAACGAACTGCGCTGCCTGCTTTAAAATCGGTCTGAAAGTAAGGGAAAAAGTGCGCATATACGTATAAGTACAAAGCTTTTGTACTTCGTTATAAACGGGATGATAAGGTTAAATATCACTGGAGGCAAACGTTTAAAAAAGCGCGAGAGGACTGCATCATCGTTATGGCACTTACGCCAATCTCGTATGTTAATTAAGTTTCTTGTTGCGAACGAGACTGTCGTTAGCTTTGTCGACACGTCGTGTCGTCGCCACGAGATATCTGAGAGAAGGCTCGATTCGCTCGCATTGTGAGTTTTAAGCAATTATCCGCATCGCAAACAATAATAACAATGACTTCAACGACACCCTACTCGGCGGCGCGATCGGAATAATCCGCTCGCTCACTCGCGCCGAGCTCCATACGAAACGAGATTTACACACCGCTCCCCAGGATTTCTCTGGCTTTGTAAGCGACGGTCTAACACGGCCGTCTACTAGGCGTCTATACGTATGTGTGTAGGTGCGCAAAACAGTGAAAGGTTTTTCAAGGCGGGAAAGCAAGTGACACCTACACGTCGACACGGCGACGACGACGGGGCGGCCGCGACGTGCGCGCGATGCGAAAAGGCAAGGCCGTTCGCGCGGATAAAAGTTCGCGAGCGCGGCGCGATTCTTGCGAAATCGAACCCGTGTGCCGCCTGTCGCAACAATAATGACGCGTAATAGAATAGTCGCGGATCGCGCGCACAAAGACCGTCAATTTCGCCGTCAATTAGATATCGGACGTTTGCCGGCTCGGCCGATCGCGATCGCTTTTCCGCGCGCGATTACCCATCGGTCTCGAGGCGGCGAGCCTGTTCTCGCGCGCCGCTCGGCTCGCCTCTTTCCTTCACCACGGAATCCTTTCCTTTCGACGCAATCTCTCTGTCCTTGAGATCGACATTTCTCGGGCACCTCACCTATACGGATCGCATCGCGTTTTTCTTCCCCCTCCCCCTCGGGAACGCGTAATGTTAATTTATTCCAACGATTGCGGCGAGTGTACGCAATCGTCACGTAATAAACTGTCGTCTTTATTCGCGCGGGCGCCCCGCGGTACCACGCGGTAGCCGATTCGCAATATTTATATGCGCCGTTACGTTCCTCTGGATACGACGCTCCGGCTTAAGTTTAAATCGCATTTTACGGCCAGCGCTCTTTGGCGGATGCAAAGCGGGTTCGCGCTCTCGTTGCGAACGCGCGAAACGTTCTCGCGGAACACGAATTAAGCGCCAGTCAATTAGCTCGACGATTTGACCGTGTCGTTGCTAAGCAAGCGATATGCATCATCCTAGAAAATTGCGGGCCGAATAGCATTCAGGGCATAAAGTCGACAGTCATTGCGCGCGGGATGGATCTAATTAGAATAAAAGCGATGAGTTTCAATCAATGAAGGTATATACCTGCACATATACAGTACATATAGAAAGATACGTAAATGATTTTCTCTAGAATAATAAAGTTGTAGAGTAATAAAATTGTAATTTAATGACTCATAACGAAATAAAAGTTTTATCTTTTATATTTTGTGTTTCGTTCTTAATGTTAAAAACTTCCGGAATGGCTCGTCAAATTTTCACTGAAAAAATTCGATAGTATAAATCCATTAAAAAATCCATGACAGAAATAATAATAAAACAACGTGTACACGCATATATCGACTGATTGCCGTGTACGCAGATCTCGGCGAAACTCTCACCTGGCATTGTTCGGCGACTTCACGCGCGCAACGCCGCGCCGCAGGAGAACGCAGACGTAACCCGCCGCGCGTATTTGCGCTCTGGATACCGCGAGTCAACCTGGTTAACGTAATTGGCCGGAATCTTCGGCCGTAACTAATTGCGGGCCCGGTATATAATAAGCGCGCTCGGGCGGCGCCGCGGCTTGCCCAAGATTTGTTACGAAAGAAATTTGAAAGCTCTTCCTCTTCAGGGCGCACACCGTCCGGGGTCGCTCGCATTAGTTTTGAAAGGAGGATTGCGCGATTCGCGACAGGAAAAACACGTATGACGGACGGGTTTCGCTGCAGACCCGCAATGATTTGCCCGATTCCGCTTTTCACAGGCGAATCACAGACGCGTCGTGGAAATAAGAACGCGATGCACGTGAGACGTGTAGTTAAACGCGTCAGAACGAAGTGGAAAAGTACAAACGCAGATAAAAGAGAAATTAAATTAGATAGTTATTTATCTTAATCGAGACTTAATCGTTAACAATCAACTTGATATATCTTTAGAATGTATTATCCTTGTAATGGGAGAAAGGGACTGCAGGCGGCCAGTCACGATGCAACAACGCGCTATTAAAATGTATATGTTCACTCCGTTATTCTTTTTCAGCGGGCAATTAAGACGGGATTATCGGTGAGTCAGTTAGCTCTTTAATCGGATGAGGTTTCTCGATCGCGCCACTAACGATTACACTGAGAAAAATGGTTTGTTTGTACCAACAAGATGTATATGGCTGAATGAATTTTGGTGAAACCAAACAGAATTTCGGATTATAATAAGAGGATTTGATATTGTATTACTAGAACGTTTGATAGACTTTACTATACGGATTTAATTAATATTTTCTAGTTAGATCTACAAAATTTCTGGTTATATTAGTACGCTCTATCGCCACAAAATGGGCATGAGACGAATTCAATTCTCGTATTTAAGAATCACTACGGAATAGTATAAAAGATGCAGCATCATGAGATCTTTAAGATCTCTTGAAGTGAGATCAAATTTTGATAGTAATTCTGAATCTTATATTCAGAATCTTATATTTCTGAAAATTAATATATGCTAAAGTATATTAATATGAGAAATTCAGTCACACAATAAAAGAAATTTTAATATATTTAACATGAAAGAATTGTTCGATCGACAAAAATTTCTGATATATTTAACAAGAAAAATGATTCGATCGCCAAGAAATTCTGGTAGATTTAACAAGAAAAAATTAATCATATTCGTCTGGTGAATCGTACAAGAATTCTGATTCGTCGATTTTCAAACAGACATACTAGTTGACTCTAACAGATATCCTCTTAATGCAACCAGATTCTTTTTTCAATGTAGAATTCGATTCGGTCCAATACCATCCGCGTGGTTTCTGACTTACGACAGATTTGACATC